GATTCAAACCTGCCACCTTAGGTGTATGTGGCTGGCGCCTTAGCTGCTTGAGCCACAGGCGCCTAGCCTCTTTGAGTGTGTTTTGATATTTCCTATTTGAATGCAGAATTACAGGGTTTAAAAGCAATGCTATTAAAGATAGATATAGGGAGAATCAAAATGAAAAAAAGTTCCCTATTCAGTGATAACTGACAAAAGTTATTAGAAATGTATTCTTATAAGTAATTTGTATAATTTAGAATATTATACATATTTAAATGTACATGAGAGATACTTCTATGCTTATAACTAGGATTCTGCTGGAAGAAGTACAAGTGCTCACCACATATTTTCTGTTCAAGAGAATATTCATCTCAGTTTTGATCCCATGGCATCATTTGTTCTCCTTACGGACCACTACATTTGGGTGAGTGGATTCAATTAAACATATGTGTTACAGGATTTGGCAAATGCAAATTCCTAAATAATGTACAGTAGTCTCCCCTTATTCAGTTTCAGTTTCATTAGTTTCAGTCATGAAACCAAGGTCATCCATGGTTTGAAAATATCACATACAATTAAGTATTTTGAGAGAAAGCCCAAGAGAGACCATAGTCATGTAACTTTTATTATAGCATATTGTTATGATTGTTTTATTTTATTATTGTCATTGATTTCTTACACCACCTAATTTACAAATTAAACCTTATCATAAGTAGGTATATATGGGAAAAAACATAGTTTACATAGGGTTTGGTACTATCTATGGTTTCAGGCATCCACTGGTGTTATTGGACTATATCTCTTGTGGATAAGAGGGGACTATTGTAATGTGACAAGAAAAATGAAACCTAAAATTAAATTTTAGTTATTTGTCTAGGACAGCGGTTCTCAACCTGTGGGTCGTGACCCACAGGAACTGTATTAAAAGGTCACGGCATTAGGAAGGAATGTCGTCTAGAACCACTGGTCTAGAAGAACAAAATTTTAAAAAGTGGATTTAAATGAGAAGAAGCAAAAGCATGGACCAGTAATTTGGGAGCTGATTCTAACCAGTGCTATAAAACTAGGATAACTAAGGAAGTTATAAGAGACTGTGCTAACTTGAGTTAAAGCCTTTTAAAGAGTATTTCTTTCTTTCTTTCTTTCTTTCTTTCTTTTTTTTAAATTAAATCATAGCTGTGTACATTAATTCAGTCATGGGGTACAATGTGCAGGTTTTATATACAGTTTGAAATATTTTCATCAAACTGGTTAACATAGCCTCCATGAAGTGTAGTATTTGTTTCTATATATTTTTCTTCTTTCTCTTTTCTTTTTTCTTCCTCCAGCTCCTCCCTTCCTTCTTTGTACATAAATAATACATGCTTAATGTAGAAACTTGGAAAATTTAGAAATAAAGTGAAATCAGTCTCACATCATTCTTTTAACACACTACCAATTATACCCCTTGCATTTGTCATTATGGTACTTTCTATTTTTCTCTCTCAAATTTATTAGTATGAATTTTAAATATAAAATAGTATTAAACTTTCATTCTCTTTTGCTGTTTGATTTTTTTTCCCATTAAGGAATTTGTCTTGATTATTTTCTTATATCAATTTATACTATGATTTTATAACATATTTGCTGCATTATATTATTATAGATAAGCCTTAATTTAATTAACCACTTCCCTATTGTTGGACATTTTAAGTTGTTTCCAATTCCTTTACCATAGAAATAATGCTTATAACTAAATTTTTACATATATCTCTAATAGAGTTTCTTGGGATAATCCCTAGAAGTGAGCTGCTAGATCAAAGGGGTAGGCATACTATTTTATATACTTACATAAAATTATTTATGTTTTGTTGTAGTCATTACCCTTTTTCCTGTCTGCCTTCATTAAACTATAAGCCCCATGAAGGCAGGGATCTTTGTCTATTAGTATGTTTAGCACATAGTAGCCCCATACTACATTTTCTTAAATGAGTAAATGGATTTTTTTAGTTTTTACCATATACTGTTTGTTTGTTTGTTTTTGCGACAGAGCCTCAAGCTGTCGACCTAGGTAGGGTGCCGTGGCATCACAGCTCACAGCAACCTCCAACTCCTGGGCTCAAGCGAGTCTCCTGCCTCTGCCTCCCAAGTAGCTAGGACCACAGGCACCTGCCACAACGCCTGGCTATTTTTTTTGGTTACAGCCATCATTGTTGTTTGGCAGACCCGGGCTGGATTTGAACCCGCCACCTTAGGTGTATGTGGCTGGTGCCTTAGCCACTTGAGCCACAGGTGCCGAGCCTTTACCATATACTGTTAAACTGTCTTCCAGAGAAACTGTGGCAATTTATATTCTAGTTCCCTCAGATCTCATTTATCCTGGGTATTAGCATGAAATACAAAAAAGATATACACTAAAATGTTGAGAAGAAAATTTAAACCTCCCTTAAGTTCATCCCCGAGAGATAGCTTTAGTGTATAGCCTTACAGACTTAAAATATGAATTCATTATTATTTTAATTTATTTTTATTACTTGGGTAATTGAGCTATTAAACATAACTAATGGGCATTTGTGTCTCATTATTACAATTTTTTAAAAAGCATTTGTTCTTTTTCTTTTGTGATCTTTTAATAGTCACCTGATTAGGCTTTAGGAACTTTGATAATCATCTGGGGGTGTTATTAAAATGTAGATTCTGGCTGGGTACAGAGGCTGACACCTGTAATCCCAGCACTTTTGGAGGCTGAGGCAGAAGGATCGCTTGAGGCCAGGTGTTCAAGAACAGCCTGGGCAACATAGTGAGACCCCCATCTGTAAAATAAAAAATTAAAATTAAAAAATACAGATTTTGATTTAGTAATTCTGAGAATAGTCCTGAGATTCTACATTCCTAACAGGCTTAAGTTGATTCCAGTGATGGTCTGGGGACCATAATTTGAGAAACAAGCATCTAGGTCTTTTTTGTCTTTTTTTGAGATAGAGTCTCATTTTGTCACCCTCAGTAGAGTGCTGTGGTGTCACAGTTCACAGCAACCTCCAGCTCTTGGGCTTAGGCAATTCTCTTGCCTCAGCCTCCTGAGTAGCTGGGACTATAGGCGCCTACCACAATGCCCAGCTATTTTTTGTTGTAGTTTGGTCGGGGCCGGGTTTGAACCCACAACCCTCTGTATATGGGGTGGGTGCCCTACTCACTGAGCCACAGGCGCTGCCCAAGCATCTAGGTCTTATGCCTTTTCTGTGAGTTATTCTCCAAGTGAATGACTTCTAGATGGAGAAAACAAAGGAAAATGCAGTTTGCTCACTAAGCCTTCTGTGTATTGTATACTTTCTTTTTACTCTTATACAACTTTAATTATTTTTATTATTTTATCTTATTTTATTTTTTTTAGATCTTGCTCTGTTGCCTAAGCTGGAGTGTAGTAGCCTCTTCGTAGCTCACTGCAGTCTCGAACTCCTGGGCTCAAGCCATTCTCCTGCCTCAGCTCCCAAGTGTGAGCTACCACATCTAGCCCTTAAACAACTTTAAGACAAAACAAGTTGTCCTTCTCTTAGCACAATGAAAAGTAGACTATTTTAATTTGCACGCTTAATATAACTGTATGAAACCACTTACTGCCTCAAATATTGGTCTAAGTAAGTTCAGAAAGTTTAATACTGTGGCATTTTATAATTTTCTATCTTGGTAGATCAGATTTTGATTCTCTTCAATCATATATTTTTCTTATAGAGTCATTTTTTGTTAATGATGGTTAAAAAAATCTTTTTCTCTCTATACTCTCACAACATTTCTAACACTAAATGTGTGGGATTATCCATACCAAGCAATTCTCCAATTCTTAGCAGACATGACTGAGAGTTCTACAATTTAACTCAATTCTGATACTGCCGGGAATTAACACAGACAGCACAGATTAAGAGGCCAGTCCTACTAGACTGCACAGATTAAGAGGCCAGTCCTACTAGACTTCCACCTCCACCCCTCACACTCCCAGATGCCATTTTTTTTTTTTTTTTTTTTCTTGAGACAGAGCCTCAAGCTGTCCCCCTGGGTAGAGTCCTGTGGCATCACAGCTCACAGCAACCTCCAACTCCTGGGTTCAAGCGAGTCTCCTGCCTCCACCTCCCAAGTAGCTGGGACCACAGGCACCCGCCACAACGCCTGGCTATTTTTTTGGTTGCAGCCATCATTGTTGTTTGGCGGGCCCAGGCTGGATTCGAACCCGCCACCTTAGGTGTATGTGGCTGGTGCTTAGCCACTTGAGCCACAGGCGCTGAGCCGCCAGATGCCATTTGTAAGTCCAAGTTGTCACTGTGCTTCTGAGGGACTAGCTAGAAATCAAGAGGTTCCCAAGAGCCCCTTTTCAGGTTTAAAAATGTGATAGAATGGTTCACAGAACTCAGGTAAACAGTTAAGTTACTAGATTACTTATTTATTATAAAAGAGTACAACTTAGGAACAGCCAAATGGAAGAGATGCATAGGAGTGGGTGTGGAGCTTTCCTGCCATCTTCAGGCACATACCACCTTCCTCGCCCCTCCATGCATCACCAGCCTGGAAGCTTTTCTCAGCCCCTCTTTGCCTCCCCAGAGAGAAGGAGAGTGGTGTGAAGCTGAAACTTCTAACCCTCTCATCACTTGGTTAGTCAGTCCATCCCTCAACTAGCCCCCTATCTTAAGAGCTTTCCTAAAAGTTGCCTTATTACCATAAACTCTGGTATGGCTGAAAGGGGCTTGTTAATGAAAAACAAAAGACACACCTTTTCTTTGTCACTCCAGAGCTGTTTCAGGAGCCAGGGACAAATATTATCATAAAAGACGTTTAGAAAATTACAAGGATTTTAGGAACTCTGGCCAGAAGCTGGAGATGAAGACCAAAATGTATATTTCTTGCTATATCCCAAGTATCACAGATGCCATTTCTATTTTTTTTAATGAAGCCATTTAAAAATTTTTAACTGAAACTGTACCCATGTATCTGTTTCACTTTAACATCTATTTCTCTGCAGGCCCGGGTCCTTTTTGTGCTGATTGCACTGCTCCAGCTCACCGTTCTTTTTACTTTTAGGTATCAAGTATGCCCAGAGCTTAAAGGTTAGTTTTGGTTCCTTTTATTCATACAAGACCTTATTTTAAAGTATCACAGAATGTCCTCACTATTACCAAGTGATAAATAACAATATAAATTTTCTTTGCATGAACTATGTGAAGTGCATCCTTCAAACTATCATACTTTTTCTAATACTCTTATCTTGAAAAAAAATTGAAATTTTTGCTGCTACATGGCAGTAAAATGAAGCTCAACCAAAATGAGGGGATCACAACATAGCACAAAATGGCCAAGTTTTAATATAAGTAGCTATTTAATACAATTTTTATATATAAAATAGAAAAGAACCTATTGTTTCAAATTATTGCATATGGGCAGCGCCTGTGACTCAAAGGA